TATATCAAACAAGAGAAACAACACAAAAGAAGGGAGTGAAAAACATCTCACTCTGGCTCACGGTGTAGGAACGCACACCGGATAGCCAAACACAAACAATACAGTTACCTCATAGATCAATCAACAACAATAGCTTATCCAATCATCCAAGTCATACAAATAGTAATTTATCATCATTTAATAATAAGAATGCACATGCATGGACACAGACTTCACATTATCATGCATGTGGCGCAAGTAAAACATCACATAGCATATTGCCGCTAGCAATACACGAAGAGTAGTCTAGGAGTACATGTCAGGTCACATCCTCTGCGCACTCTCACTAGAAGGATATACTACCAGAGTCTCGTTGGGATAGCTAAGCCGCGCAAGATACATCCCATGCACACAATGGGCGAGACTGAGACTTCCAAACCAAGCTATCCCCAAGGACTAATCCCCAAAGCTTTTACACTAGGGGGCATTCTCTGGCGGTGTATTCCATATCGTACCCTTAAAACATTTATGCAAATGATGCATGTCAATCAAGACTCTATGCATTCTCATATCACATTGTCATTTCCCATGGTCATATCGCATCATCACATTTCGTCATTACATTTCATCATCACATTTCATTATCACATTTCATTCACAATCTTCATATAGCACTTTATTCCGTATTAAAACTCATCTATTTGCATAATTAAATACACATTTATACATCTTATACAGCAAGGAGTACAACAAAACAATCAGAAGGTAAAACAGAAATATTCTTATTTTGCCTGCTGCTTATAGGGTTCTCTCAAGAACCCATAGAACATTCCAATTTATGCAATAAATATTTAAAATAAGACAATTCACGTATATAATTATTATCACAATTAATTTACTCATACTGGCACCAATGCACTCCCTTAGGGCCGGGTTTCCCGTAGGAACCCATAGGAGTACCAAATTCCACAATCATAGCCTAAACAAAGTTTCTATTCATACACACATTAATTAACTAATTGAAACATACAAGAAAAATATGACATACTACAAACACAGGATTGGGGGCCAATCCCACTACCCATCATACAATCCCACACCCAGAGTGAGGTTTCTCACTCCCCCCTTACCTCGATAAACAGGGGTTGAAACTGAAGCAGAATCTCCTCCTCCGGGTTCCCCTTGGTCTCCAGAAAGTGTAGAAAAAAAAGAGTCAAAAGTGAAAAAATGCGTTTTTCTAGAGTGCCGGAACGCATTTAAAGCAAAAATCAGAATCAGAATAAAAAATGAGCTGAAGTTGATTAGAATTCTTATAGGTCAACATATGATCCTTGGTTCCGTGCAAATATCTAAAGACCTTTTTAACGGCTTTCCAATGACCCAAACCTGGGTCGCTCAAGTATTTCCCTAAAGTATTAACAACAAAAACAATATTAGGACGAGTACAAACTTGAGTATACATCAAACTACTAACATCGAAAGCTTATGAGACCAAGTTTATGCTTTTTAATGATTGAAGGGGGTTCTATAATTGGAAATAATAAGGACGTCAAATAATCACCAACTTTAACAATGACTGAAAAATTCAGTATTATTATATGAGTCCCTTATGTTAACTCTTGTTCATGGTACACGTTTGGTTGATACACTATATATAGCACGAAGCTAAAAGCTAATTAAGATAGGTTTAACTATTACTAGTATACATAATTTCTTAGGTATCTTGGTTACATCTCATGTTATAGATTCTAATTGAATAATGTACAACAAACACACATTAAATTAATTACTGATAGTTGAACTTTTAGGTAATTATATATCTACACTAATAAATAATTTTAGTAGTGTAATATATAATCAATTAATTTGAATCATAACATTAGCATGACATATTATTTGTGTAGATACATAATATTTATACTAACAATACTTTAAAATAAAATATATTAATGAAAACAAACTAAACGATTACTAAAGATGTGTTTGGAAAAAAGTTACGTTCAACATAACTTGCTTTTAATCGAATGTGACAAAAGAGTTACTTTTCTTTTTGGTGCATTGAAATGTGTAAAAATTCGTTGAATGAATTTCAAATAATAAACCAAACACACACTAACATAGTTAGAAAAGTGTCATTTTCTTGTGAATTTTCCTGCAAAAAAATATTCGTAGAAATTTTTGGGAATTTATTTGCGAAAAATAATTTACAGATATTTCTTACAAATTTTGCTACAACTTTAATAATCATAGAATTTTTTTTTTTGCAGAAAATTTTCCTGCGAATTTTTTTCGCAGGAAAATTTTCTACGAATTTTAAAATTCGCAATATATTATCTATGAAGGTATTACCTGTAGATAAAATTTTACAAAAAAATATGTAAGAACAACGTATCTTGTGAATTTTTCATCAAAATTTATAGAAAAAATTGTATATAATAAGAAAAATTCTAGTAATGTAATCATTAGTAAATAGAACTTCTTGTTGTCGTGTGTTATATAAGAACTTGATATGTGTTATTTATAGAGATTTGTTTTTTTAGCTTGGACTTATTATTATTTGTAGTTGTAAATTGCAAAAATAAAAAATTGACGCAGATCAAATAGTATTTAATTACATTAATATCTTTTAATTAAATATGAAAAAAAATATTTTTTAAGTTTATAAATTAGTACAACTTTTAATTAAATTACTGTATTACACATTCAGTTATAATGTGCAATATTAGTCAATAACTAATAATTTAATAGTGAAATTACAGAATGAATGAAAAACATAAATATTTCGTCACTTTTTTCCTGCAATTTATGACTATTAAGTCATAACACTGCTGTTAAGATGAAGTAGAAGATCAGACTCTCATATGCATTCACACGGCAAAATCTGCCCCCTATTCAAAACACTTATCATTGCAAAGAAAATTACAATTCAACCAATTGACCAGAAATCTTTATTTATTTATTTATTTTTACAATCAAGTTGCATTTGTGTGTAGTAGTTGGACAGATTTAATTATAAAGAGTATAGATAAGATATAAGAAAAATAAGATTATCACCACATCTTATGCATATTTGGTAAAAGTTATTTTTGTAAGAAAAATTATTTTTCTTTTATAAAATTATCTCAATGGAATTCCTCCCAAAAAAAATAATCTCAATGAAAATTTAATTTTATAAGATTTTAAATATTAAATAAATTAATCTAAATGAATATTAAATCCATGCAAAATACTGAAATAGACTAAATGAGGGGTCACCAAAGTGGGCATAATTATTTTCACCTAGATATACAAATGCCTGAATATGGATCGTAACTCAACAACTGCCAGCACATAAACAAACGTAGGGACAGTACTTCCAATCTTAGGGAAACTCATTAATTTACAAAAATCTGTCTTGTTCATCTAGACAAATCAATTGTGTAGAATGAACTTGAGAAGTAAAGATCTTATTGGCGAAAAAAAAAATGTTGAAAATTATTGGAGACTGTTTTCCATTATTTTAATTATAATCTCTTGACACATGATCACGTTTGCTTTTATTGCCATATGGCAAAAGATAATGTACGCCTACAACCATTGTTGAGATTGAGAGCTAAGACTGTCGAAGTCACCTTACGACATGAAAGAGAGGAGACAATATTAATTAATATAACTGATAGACATTTATATATGTTTCTTAATTAAGTTATTCAGTATTTAAATCTTGATCTTGGAAGGAAATATATTATATTAAGTAAAAAATATTTATTTTAAATATGTTTATAGTCTTCTTAATAAAAATTAATTATTATTTATAATAGTATATACTTTTTATTAATACCATACTTTAAAAAAAAAAAAAAAGAGATAAGGGTTTCTTGGTATGCATGAAAAGTCTACGTGAAGGAATGGGATTATGGTTGGCTGAAAATTGTTCACCACAATTTAATTTCTTATTTAGTTTTTCTGGTATTTATATATTTTTTAACTTTATCTACACTCCAGGGTGACATTGGACCTAAATTCTTTGTGCTTATACATTAGGTTGCCCTAACCCCACTCAACTCTCTATCCATATTTTAATTATTTCTTTTCCAAATTTAAACCTGATTTATTTAAGAAACTCGTAAGAGGTAGCTTTAGTGAGAGTAAAAGGGACAAAAACAAAAGGGAAGGAAAAACCTACATTTATTCTTCTACAAGTTTTCGCATACACCATATACAAAGCAGAACCAAACTTGAGATCAAAGCAATCCCATTTTTTTATTCTTATATTTCCCTGTGCAACCAACCCTGTCTCTAATTGTTGATCTCATTCTCTATTTAGATTTTTGAGCATCTCTTTCTCACTTTCTCGTTAAGTGCAAGAAGGGTTTGTGGGAAGAACCAATATATTCATTCACTCATGCAAAAGTGAGGGAGAATTTAATTCCTTACCACTCCTTAACAAGTAGTGGCATGAGGGTATAGCAAGCTTTAGAAGAGACAAGTTTCCCTTTTGTCCCTTTTATTAATTATTACTACTTTAAATCCCTCTCTTGACTCAAACGTTTCTCTCTCGATCTCTTTTAGTTTTTGTTCCATTTTTTTTAATAGCAGAAGAAGAGGGATACAACAAGGAAAAGAGGGTCTCCATAAATGGAATGAAGAGTGTGGAAGAGAAGAGGAAAACATTAAGGAAATGACTCAGTGCAGTGATCTTGTAAACAATCGTCATAACATCATAGTGGAGGGACGAAAGGATAGTTTAATTAGAACTTGTCCTACGTGTGGCCATCATATCAAATGCCAAGAGCAGGTTCTTAATCACTATCTTTTTGCTAATTTTTTTATCAGAAAAAAATATAATAAAAATAACAAAGTTGGAACATGAAACTCTATATAGACTATAATTTCTCATTATGATGACGAATTTGACGATACTTTTTGTTAATTAATATATAGATGACATATATATATCATTAACCTTTTAATTACTTTTTTTAAGGTTGGAATTATGTACTTTTGTTAGTTAATTTTGATTCATTTTTTTTATTCTTTATGAAAGAAATATAAACAAATATATTTGTGGTGTTGATTAATCATTATTAGGGTGGTGGAATTCATGACTTACCTGGACTACCTGCTGGAGTGAAGTTTGATCCCACAGATCAAGAGATTCTTGAACATTTGGAAGCGAAGGTTCGTTCTGATATTCATAAGCTTCACCCTCTAATTGATGAGTTCATTCCTACTCTTGAAGGCGAAAATGGAATCTGCTATACTCATCCAGAGAAGTTGCCAGGTCAATTATAATATCCTCATCAATCTCTAAAATCTTCTCTATATATATATGAATAATTATCGAAGCACATTAATTCTTTTTTAACACATTTCTCAAGTTATGTCGAGTCTTAACCTTACAATCTTTGTCTGTTTTTTTTAGTAAAATATTTGTATTATTATTATATATTGACTTCAAACATTGTCTTATACTTCCTGAATAACACGGTCATCAGTAACCTGAAGAAATTAACACACCAGTCACCAGTATTGTTAAAGCGTTGAAGCAACGATTTTGTGGCAGATGTGACCATTTACATTTATTAAATTTAAGTTTAAATTATTTATATATTATCTTACCTATCCTTTGGAGTAAACCTTCATCCGACATGCATGCCATAGCGAAGGGTGATATTAAACCCTTCAACTAACCTTGCTATTACGTAGTACCTAGCCTCTTATCATCTGTTCTTTGTCTTAATTATACATGTTGTAAACATGTTCTTTTGTTAGATGATAAATTATTAGTGTTCAGCTTTTTTATTTTATTTTTATTTTTATTATTATATATGTATAATATTTTTAATCATTTTTCTATAAGTACTTATAAGGGAAGAAAATTTGAAAAAAAAAAAAAAAAACTTTTTTGTTATAAGAAAAATTTCAGTTGTACGTAATTTAAAATTAAAAACATATTTTGAAGAAGTAAATATGAATGAATTTCTACAAATTAGTTTATGCATAATTTAAGTTATTTGTCTCAATAATTGTGTCATGGGAGAGTTACTATGGTATTCTTGTAATTTGGAATGTTTTCGTATAATCAATTTTTTAAATTAATAAAAATGATATAAAATGTGATTTTTTTCTTTTCACTTTCATTTTTTTCTTCTACATTAAGTGATGTGTACTTAACAAACACATGATTTATGTAATTAATTTACTATTTCTTTTCGTTAAATATTGGTCTAAGTGTTTTAAATTCTTTTATAAAAATTAAAATAATTTTGAAAAGAATACAATAAGATTTTATTTACTAAAGTTAAGGGATATTTTGTAAATTTTTTATTCAATTTTCTCCTTATAATTTGTACACAAGTATAAAAAAATTTAATTTATCATGACTCACAATATATGAAAAAATATATTTACTAAATCCAAACATTTTGTATATATATTAAGAATTTTAAGAAAATACATATTGAAATGAAAAATATGAACATGATAGAAATCAAACAATTATAAATCAAATGGTCAAATATGTAAAAAAAAAATCAAAATTTCAAAACCCTTTAAATATATAAGATTATCGTAGAATTCCTTTTATGTTATTAGTATAAAGTATCTATTAACTTCGTCAATGACTAATCTTCCGTTGAAAAATTTAACTAATTATTATATACACAAAATTTAAATTTGAGACTTTTATTTAAAGAGATTGAATTTAATATCGTTAACATCAACAACTTGTTAGTAATTAATTTTAACTATTTAGAGAAATTTATTTTATTTTTTCTTTATATTTTATTTTCTTATAAGTATTTATGAAAAAATTTATCCAAATATGCTCTTATTCGAGCAATATACTTAAAAAGCATGCTGTTTTATTTCAATATCTCTATTTAAATATTATTTATTTTTAGTTCTTGGGTTAAAAAAAAAATATTTTTTCTCATCAATTATAAAGATTAAAAGTTTATATTTTTAAAAAAGAAAATAAATAAAATCTAATTAAAAATTAATTTTAAGGCCGACACTTTTAGTATCTATGAACATATTTAAGCATATAATTTTATTAGAGGAGTGTTAAAACTTGATATATAT